GGTATACAAAAAAGACTATTTTGAGCTTTATATCATGTTATAATGTCATTCCCTCATCAAAAACACACCCAGGGTGTTGCTTTTTTCATTCTTGTTTGAGAAATCCTTGAATCTCCTGTGGTCGTCATACGGAGCTGCCTGAACACTTGCTGGTACAAAGCTCCGCCTATTTACACAAAGCTCCTCCCTGGAGCTCAAATTCACAGCCGAGCTCCTGCCCCAAAGAGCACCCCTCCCCCAAAGCATTGTTGTGAAGACGTGCTGAAGTGGGAGTGTCCGAAATGGTAGGAGGTTCTTATTTCAAGGTGTTCAGATAGACTGTGATGCAAAGTCACATTTATCGTTGATATAAACAGTATTTTCGTAAGAACTGAAGGTAACATAGTTACATGATTGTGGCATAGAACTGAACTATGTGCCTGGAAAATACGTAATTACCCCCCCCCCCCTTAAATAACATAAATAACAAAGAGCATCTCAGCTTGGCTCAGAAGAATCTTCCAGAAAATACACATGCTGGTAGACTGAAGCCTTTATTTCTTCACCTCCACCTTGGACACTGGGAGGACTTCAAACACCAGAGCTAATCGCTGGTGTGAATCAGGCTCGTCAATCAAGTCTGGCTAATTTCCTGTCGGCTAATTAGAAAGCCGGTGCCCTGCAGCCCCCCCACGCTTCATATAGACTACAACCTAATTGGAAAGTGGCCAGATCAGGTCTGCACTTCCGAGTGAATGAAAACTTTAAGTCAGGATGGATAATCAGAGGGGCACTGGAACAGGTCATGATGTATATAAATAACTGTCCCCAATAGACAAACCTGCAGCGAGATCATTTACAGAATAGTTACAGTTTGTCTTTTAAAATGGCTGAGGATGTTGTTCTTTTCTAACCTGCAGTAGTTTGTTGTTTTTTATTTGTACACAGCATTACATTTATGAATGCCTTTTAAAAAAAGTCCTACTTAAAAAACGCACTGAAGATAAATTGCTTTCTACGAGTTTAGCATAAAAATGTTTATCGAGTGAACTAAAATCAATTTAATTAGGGCTTTTCTTTAAAAAAAAGCAGAGGGCTGATGACCAAGCACTTTGAAAATGCACAACAAATAACGCTTTGATGCTAACGCAGCAGAGTTTACGAGCGGACGTGTCCGTGGAAGCTTTAATTCCAAACGAGCACAAAAAAGTCAGTTATTAACCAAAGCTGTTCAGTTCTGAGGGTAAAGGTGACATCTGAACCTCACTGTTTTATCTGTAAAACCTCAGTGTTTGTCCCGCCGGGCACTCACATTCTGCCTCCAAACGACACTAATGAACTGAGAACCACACACTCCACAAACACACACACTGTGTACACTTTCTCCCTGCAGCACAGTCTTAACAGAAATAAAGAGTTTACTGGCAGCCGTACAAAATTATTTCCAGTGATTAAACAAAACACTCGCCGAAGTTAAACGAACCCCTCATACTTCACCGATAAGAGTCGGCTCAGGTCCCACATGAGACCCCTCTGACAGAAGAGACTTTTGTCAAAAAATAACAGCTTTGTTTTGCTAAAATTGGTTTAATGATGGAAGCTGCTGGGAAACCCCTCCCACTGCGGTATGTGTCACTGCACGAGGTTCCTCCCCACTGGAGTCTACGCAAACAAAACTCTGAACCGCTGTTATTTTTCCACAAATCTGTCCCCGTTAACGCTTCACACAAGCTTCGTTTCCATTGACCATGAAAATGCGCAAATTAGAATTTCGAAAATAAATTTGCTCGATGGAAACACGACAGTTTCGAAAAAATCAAGTTTTTCAACAAAATGTTTTTGCGCTAGGATGAAGTTGTATTTCGGCCGTGTCGAAATTTGTGTTTTTCGCAAAACTGCAATGGAAACACTTTTTTTGCATCACAGGCGTCACATGATCAACAACCGGCTGTTTCTATTGGCGAAAAAGATGACGACGAAGAAGACAACAGGAAATAGAAGTAGTAGTAATATCACAGAAGTAGTAAAAGAAAGTAGTAAACTCACCGACTACTATTTCCCAAAAACACAGCATACGTAGCCGCTCCCAAGTAGGGACTTGTCGCTGGAAAGCTTCAATAAAAGACGCCAACGTCTCATCTGCTGATGAGCGCTAGTGTCGTGGTAGCAACATGCTATGTGTTTACATCCATCGCCGCCATGTTTGTAATGACTTATCGCGAGAACAAACGTATTCATGCGTGACTTTAATAGCATTTCTCACTTAATGGAAACACTGCAGTTGCGAAACTGTGTTTTTTCGACATTAACAGTATATCGACAACGTTTTGCGCACATTTGCAACGGAAACGCAGCTACAGACTCCTCCATACAAAACATCTCTTTTATTTCCACTCATGAGTTTTTGGCCATTTGACGATCTTCTGGTTACAACCGTCGTATTCAGGAAGCGAGTCGTTGGAACAAAATGTAGCATCTGAGCGCTTTCAGCATAAACAAAGATGCTCCCAAACTTCTGACCAATCACATAAACTCATTAGCGGCAGGGAGGTAAAAAGATCTGCCGGCGGGGTGTGACAAGAAGGGGTGGCAGAGCACGATGACGTAATTTTTGGGGGCACGAGTATTCTTTCACTTTGAAACGATTGTGCGAAACAACTGTATGGATTCATATAGTAAAGCTGTGTGACTTAATGCAGAACAGAACAGTTGCAGTTTTTCACGTTAACTCTGAATGTTTTTCTTTAAGACTTTGAGCCTCCGTTCATCTTCTGTCCTGACACAGAGCTCTTGGCCTTTCACTTCATGCTTCTAAAGTTTTAGGAGCAGCTATGTTATTCTACCCAAACTGGATCGACTGTAACTCAACAGTTAGAAACATATGCTTGGATCATTGAATCAGTTTTTTATTAGTTTTACTAAGTATTTTTTCTGGTTGTTCCATCCATATATCACTGATTTCCGTGTGTTTCTGGAAGTGCACCAGTAAACTGGATTATCTTCTGCATGATGTGTGTCTACAGAAATAGACGTGACGTCTCTGTCTGGCTTCTTCTCCGTGCTTCTTGGGTTCGCATTGACTTTTATTTCACAGGGGGGTGGGAAACAAGTGGAGGGTCCTCTCTAATTAAAAGAAGGGCAGAGCAGCAGCTGCCTCCTCTCCCAGCGTCCTGATGACAGCGGCCTGCTGTTTAGATTAACTCCCTGAACCACTTGGCTGCTCACGCAGAAAACCTTCAGTACCCATATTTGGCCACACAGCTTTGACGAAGAACAGAGTTTGTGTGCGTTGGACTCTCAGCTGTTCCTTTAAGTCGGGCGTTTGTTTCCTCCCACATGTTCTGTAACGTTCTGAACGCAGACTTTCTGTAAACGTTTTCCACTAAAATACATTGAAACTTTACATGTTTTTTCTAACTCTCCCTCTTCTTCTCTGTTAGGATCCCCGCCGACGTGGACCCCCTGACAGTCTTTGCCTCCCTGTCGCCCGAGGGGGTCCTGATCATCGAGGCTCGGCAGACGCCTCCGTACTACCTTTTTAGCAGCGAAGGCTCCCAGGGAGGTGAAACGCAGGAGGCGGAGGCCCCAGAGGTCCAGGAGGCCCCCGTGGTCTAACCTTCCTGGCTCACGGAGCACATGGTCCTCCACAATCGGTCACTAGTTGGACATGAAACACGTAGCCTTTCATCTTTATCTAGTCGAAGTTTAAAGGATTAAAATGTGTCGTATCAATCAGGACCAGCAAGTCCTTTTAAAACTTCCATGTTCAAGTTGCACACAAACGCCTCATCCTCCCACTAACATGTAGAGTTTATTAATGAATACTCTTTCTGAAAGGTCATTAGCAAATAATTCAGCATTTATTTTTGCCTCATTCATCTACTTAATATGTATAAGTTGTAAAGTGGATCATCATTTTCCAAAATCTGCAGTTAAAGTAGACAAATGCTTTAAAATCTTTAACCGCAATGTAGACCTCCTCATTGTAACTCCACAAGTCCCGCCCCTTTTCTGGGGCGTGTCTCAGATCAGCTCATTTTGGTGCTGCCTCTCTAAATGCAAATGAGGCACTTCACACCCTGGCCCCCTCCACCTACTTCAACCATTTTTGTGGTTTGACAGCAGCGATACGATTATTTAGCAGCACTTAAATGTTTTATTTACAAATTAACGAAAATATGTCGACAAGAAAACACTCAAGAATACAAAGACATATATGTAGCACCAAGAGAAGCTAAATTAAACTTTCCTGCACATCAAGAGTCTCCAAATATTCAACAAAATGCGAGTTGCTAACCTCCTCTCTCAAACGGGAGTGGACCGGTCTGGAAGCAGGAGGGAGGCGGGGCTTGAAGCATCTTAAAGGAACCGAAACAAAATCAGCTGCTTTGAGAGACACACAGCAGAAAAGTGGTGAAAGAGGAGCTGGTAAAGTTTAAATAAGGAGGAATTCAGACCAAAGTGTTGTAGTTCCACTTTATAAAGACTCTAACTGAATGATTTAAATGTGAAAAGGAAGGATTTAAAACTTGATGTGTCTACTTTTAATAAGTGAATAAGAAGATGTAACCCTAAAGTAACAGAAACATTCATAAACATTTATTTCAACTTTGTACTTTGCATTTTGCAAGCAACACTGATTTTATTACTTCCTTCTGAGAGTCTGTGATCCTTAGTATATTTGATTCTTCAAATATAATCACAGTCTTCCCACAATTATTTCCCTCATTTGTAATCCATCTTCAGTTCATACGCTGGTTTTTATTTAACAGTTATTAACAGTTTATGCCTCTTTGAAGCAGATCTTTTATGCTCTGTTTTGACTATTCATTGGCGCTGTCCTTAATTAGCCATGATTGCGTAATCAGGAATTATAAATAGCCTAGCTTACTGATGACATTGTTTACAAAACCGTGGAGGTGTTTTGATCAGGTTTTTAGCAGCTTGATGCATCAGAAGCCATTAAGCTGCATGTTAGAGAATAGATTCTTAGTAAAAGGAAACTCATTCAGCAGAAACGATTTCTCTAAAGTAACAAACGTGCCTTTTTGTTTATTTGTAGTCCTCGACAGTTTAAACTTATAAAGGGTTTATGATTGTGTGCGTTAATGCTGCAATGTAAATATACTTTTATATGTGACAAATTATTTGAAGTTTTAATCTGAGGTTCAACGTCTTTTGCAATATGGGCTGTACTTTTTTCTGCATAAAAAAAGATGATTGCTTGGTTCTGACTCATTTTTCTGATGTCTTTCTATTGAAAAAAATGCAATAAAAATGTCTCGCCCGTCTTTCAATGTGTCTAAATATCCTTGTTGTTTTTAAAGCGGTGCCACCGGCAGGCCTCGCTCCAGAGAGCCTGTGGTGTTGTTGTTGGATAACAGAGAACTGAGGGGGGCTTAAAGCCGGCTGTGCTGGACCCGACTCGCTCAGGAACTCCAGCCAGAGCTTCTCAATACGACTGAAAATATTGGGCCAGTTCCATCTCTTTTTTTTTTCTATTGTGTGACGCAAAAACAATGTATCTTCTCTGAGTGCTGGAATCAACAGCCTAAATTTTTAAAGGGTCAATATTATGTGTTTCTCAGGCATACATTTAAATATTATACCATAATAAGTCACCTTTAGTTGTTATTAAAATGCAGTTTTTATGTTTAAATAGAAAATAAACTTATCTTCTCATCACTTCCTCTTCTAAACGCCTTGAAATTGGCCTCTGTCTCTTTAAGAACCACCTTCTGCTTCTGTCTCGCCCATTTCAGTGCGGGGGGAGGTGCTATGATGCAGTTTATTTGGCATCTGAAGATACATTTCCTCAAAGGTATTTTTGATCTGAAAAGAGCTTCACTGAGTGAGAAGGAGTGTTAGGAGTGTTAGGAGCTTAGCAGACAGTTAGGTTTCACTTTCACTTTTACTGGAGAGCCTGCAGGAGTCATGGGCGGGGTTTGTGGGGATGGGGGGTGTGCTCTGCCATGAGGAAGTTTGGCTTAAAGACACGTCCCAGAGGCGTTTCTGGTTCCCACCTGTCGTTTTGCTCCTCAGCATGGCTTCCTAAAAACACTGCAGGATTTCTCAAACATGCCTGAATGAGTCAGAGCAAGGCTTTGGGCATGTTTTTTTTATGAGTATAAGATTATAACATGATACAAAACTCAAAAAAGTTTATTTTACATGATATTGCATCTTTAAAAGTCTCCAGCTGGAGCTGCTCTGCTGAATAAGATTAAAATAATAATTTAAAAAAAGGACTTTCGTGGTTCTGGTTCCTGCAAAGACTACGCGATGTGCTGCACTCTCATGAACTGCTGTGTTTATTGCTATTAGATTATATGAGTGGACTCAACACTTAGGCTGTTTCCATGGTAACAGCCATATTGGAATTAGGCCTGTTTCTCCTTGGGCGAAAGCGTTTATGTCGAAGTGACAAAAGGCACAGCTGTGCAAACATGTAGAGCCTGATTAAAGATCATAACAGATTTTTTTTTTTACAATTTTGTTTAGTTGTCAAGGTTAACTGTGGATTGTATCAGTGATAATCACTTGATTCAGAGCTGCAGATGTGTTCATGAATTAGAGGGAGTGAGAGGATAAATATGAAGGCCCAGTTTGATTCACTGTTTCTTTATTGGAGCTCTAAAGGCAGCGGTTACACGGCTTTAGCTGCTGCATGAAAGAACCGGTCCAAGCAGAGCGAACAGGCTGATGTGGTTCTGTTTACTCTGCAGCTTCTTGTTTTGTGTCGGCAGCCTCCAGCTCCTGCTGGACGTCGCTCGGTGGACTGGAGCCCAGATCCTGCTCCTCCGGCTGGGTAAGCTCCTCGGCTCCCTCCTCCTTCACCTGGATGTCTCCATCATCTGTGACGGGTTCTCTGTGTTCCAGCTGGGTTGATGTACCGGGGTCTTCAGGGCTTTCGGGGGCTTTGTGCTGCTCAGGTTTTTGCAGACTCTCTAAGTTTTTGTCCTCTGCAGGCGCTGAAGGGTGGCTCTCTTCAGCTGTTTGTTTGGATGCGGTGCTGCTCGGTTGTTCCTGATCATCAAGAACATCTTCTTCTTTGTCTTCTGCTTCCTGTTCTTCACCCTCAGTTTCCACCTGCATTTAGATTGAAAGAAACACAAAATAATTTTTGCGTCACTTTAATATTTTTAAAGACGATACCTCTAATAATTAAACAGTGTTTTATACAGTACCTCAAAGTGATACTTGAGTAAAAGTACAAGTAGCTTATCATAAAAATACTTTGGTGAATAAAACTTGAGTAAAAGTCTTAACGTACCTGACATTTTTTGTACTGAAGCATCAAAAGTAAATTTCTGACACAAAAAACACTTAAGTATCAAACGTAAAAGGTTTCAGTAAATGTGATTTTACTAAATGACATTTATTGGGAGGTGACTTCTCCAAAAAATATTTTTTTCTAATGGAGTGCAGCTGTGATGGACTGTGTACAAAGTAGTAAAGTATCAGAACTGTATGTATTTATACTTCTTATCCAACCACAATTAAATTCACTCCATCCAGGAGAAGTATTTTTTTTAATAATAACAACCTGGAATAAAATAGGAGAAACAACTTTCTATTGGTTACCTTTTTCAAAAATATAAGGAGTAGAAAATACAGATAATTGTATAAAAATGTGATGAGTAAAATTAAAACGTACGCTGAAAAATAAAGTACAGATAATCAAAATTTCGACCTAAGTACAGTAACAAAGTATTTGTACTTACTGGTACTTACTGTACAACTCTGTTAAAGAAATGTATAGTTATTACAGATTAGTACTGATGTTAGAAGCACAACACTAGATTATTAGGGTTTCCTTTTTATAATGTTTGATCTATTATTAATCTATTATGTGTTAATTGATATAGAATAGTTACATGTCCGAATCATAAACAACACATAAGTGAACCGTTATGACAACATTAGGTTGAGTTTACTGGATGAATGCCTGTGATTCAGCCGTAGGTCAGTAGGGGGCGAACTCAGGCATTGAAGAATCGTATAAAAAGATGCACTTCCTGGATTTTGGCCAGTGTGGTTTTCCTTGTCAGCTCAGTGACTATTAAACCTCACTCGGTTTTCAAAATTCTGGTGTTGTATGATTTTATTCCTACCACAAATCATTTTATTTAACAGTGGTGTTTTCAGCTTGACTTCAGTCGTATTGAACACGTATTTTTCTTACACTGTAATTAAATATATTCTAAAATTAGTCCTTGTCATTAAAATTGGCATAAAAAAACAAGTTTAGATCCAGAATGGGTTCATTTTGACTCTGTTTGGTACCTGGTTACGAAAGCATGGATCTGTAAATCAGAAATGGCCTCAAACTCGTGTAATTTGACATTTTAACCTTTCGTACCTTTTAATTCCTTGTTTTTTATTTTAACCCGAGCTAACCAACTACTGACTCAAAGTTTCCATTTAGCAGAAAAATATAATCTATGAACAAGTAAATGAATGAGCTAGGGGTGTAAAAATATATCGATCCACATCGATATATCGTTTGAACCACATGTGTCAAACTCAAGGCCTGTGGGCCAAATGTGACCCACCACAGCA